GTAAATCTAGGTTTTATCCTATCAAAACTTTTGTCTTCTATGTAGTCAAAACATATGTATGTCCAGGCTTTGCAAAATATAGTAATCCATTATCAGTCATGATATTAAAATCTCATTCTCATGAATTAAATCAAAGATTTTAAATCAACCTCAGAAGTAACATTGTTTTTTCCTTCTGTAAAATGATTGGAGTTACTGTATAATCGCATACACCCAATATAACCTTGCATGTTCCTAACTGCTACATTAGTGTATTTCATTCTGTCATATTTGCAAACTTGATGTAAATTTTTATTTCCATTAATTAACCTAATACTTCCTTATAACACACATAAAACAATGAAAAAACAGTTCAGACTAACAATTCATTAAAACAACAAACTAACATAGAACTCTATTCTTGTGCTGTTCTTAATTCTGGAATCAGCCTGTGTACATCTGTTGGAACACATATCCATGCTCATTCCCTAAACTAATCATATCTCTTGAAGTTATCTGATTCTTATAACTTTCTGTGTCACACTGCATTGCTTGTCTGTCTCCTAATTTCGATTTAGCTAAAATTGCTTTTATTTGTCTGATTATCAGTTTACAAGGAAAGGCTTTAATTGATTTATCTCCATTTTCTCTGTCAAAATTTTTAATCAACATATTTAATTTCTCATTTGCTTTTGATTTGATATCTCGGATAAAATATCTGCAAGATCTTAAATAATGTTGTTTGTTGCACCAAAAACAAATAACTTTAGGAGTTATATTTTGCCCTATATTATCAACTCTACAGTTTTTAGTTGAATAAATTGGGAGGGGCTCAGCTGTCTGTATCACTCTACACTCTGTCCTAGAAGAAGAAGAAGGAGGGGGACGAGGGCTGTAACATCTGCACTTCTTTCTCTGCCTAAAGCCACAAGTCGTTTTAACCCCTTCATTCTTGGTTTCCCTCCTTAAGTTATCCAAGAACAAAGCTACTTCTGTCAAAGTGATTTTTTCTCTAGCTAACACAATTGCAGTTGGATCTAGATCTTGAAATTTTTTCACAAATTCATTAATTAACTGATCTTCAGAAAAATCAGCAACAAGTCTATATGCATTTTCAAATTTTACAAGAAAACTAAAAATATCCTCATCAATGTGTGGTTTTAGGTTTTCCAACATTTCAGTGTCTGCAAAATCATTCCCTGTTGTTAATTTTATTAATTGTGTTAATCTGTCTTGCTTATTCCCATGGACTATTTCACCATCTTCGTCATTAGGGGTACTAATGGGTGGAGTCAGTCTACGTGCAATTTGAGTCGGCAGCCATGTTTTAAATAGTCTATTCCTTTGTTCGTCATTTAGGCTGTATTTGTCTAAATTAGACTCAAATATTTCAGCATTAGTGAATGCATCCACTGACGTGTCATAAACTGGAATACATTTCACAATTTTCATTAATTGATCATGGATTTTCAAATTAAGTTTTGCAGTTCTGTCTTGGAATTTACATTTCTGCAAATCACTCTGTGAGGATACATTTTCAGTATCTATTGGTTCTGGGATTAGATTCTGTGCTTGTATTTTTCTTGTATTAACACACACTAGTTTAACTTCATTTCCAAGCTGGCAAATAAGATCATTTCTTAGTTCAACTCTATCCTCTAATTCACAGACTGTTTCTGACAATGTTCTCTCTGTTACTTTGTTACACTGTTCATTTAAATCTGATTTGTCTTCTGTTAACCCATTCAAATCTACTTCTTTTTCTGATGATTCTAAATTTTCTTGACCTGCATCTCGTTTACAAATCAATGCATTGTAAGTACAGACTAGTTTCATAACATTTCTGATCTTTTGTTTTTTCTTATTAACAAACAATTTCTTGTCAATTTCACTATTGGCAATTTCACATTGTGTGTATAAAGATTGCCACAATACAGCTTCTGAATAGCTGCTATTACATGCAAACTGCAATTTACTTTTCTCTGCATTATCATTTATGAATTCCATGTTACTCACCAGATCAGTTATTTCTGTCTATTTCGTTGCTTCATCCACACAGCTGCGCAGTTCTTTGCTTGGACGCTTGCCAATCTCTGCCACGTGCTTGCTTCTAGAATTCACGTTGTATCTTGTGCTTTTTGTCTCCGTTGTAGAAAATAGTCTTGTACAGTCTTTAATTTGAAAACTTTCTTTTTCTTACAAACCACAGTTCTTCTATGACAGTCAGTCTAGATTCTTTTTTTTCTCTTCAAGTTTGTTTTCCCAGTTCCAAAATAGCTTTGTAACTCGATTCTTCTCTCTCCCCCCTTGAAGTGGGAACAAAACTTTGAATAGAAGACTGGCTGGCTAGCCAATGTAAAAAACTAGATGAATGGATGTTAATGTAGACTCTTTCTTAATTTCTTCTTGTCTTCAGTTGATTGATATATATACGTCTTTTGTATATATATTCTTGGGCCAAATGCTCGCCACAATAATATATGTCTATATTATTGAAAAGTAGTAATACGCAATCTAACTTACGGTTTCTTCTGGTTTATTCTTTGTTACGGATACATAATAAAACATAATAAAGCATAATAAATGATGTTACAGGATTATAGACATTCAACAGCAGATGGTAATTGCTGGACTTCTGATGGGAGAGTTACATCGTTGTACAGAGCCAAGCCAAGACAGGACTAAGACTGAGAGACCTCGTGTCCCTCTGTTACTATATAGAAGTGCTAATACTAACATCAGCATATAACTCTAGCCATATAAGGACAAAACCCTCCACATCCACATTCCAGAGCTCTCGGACAAAGAAAGCCTTGTGACTTATTGATACCATCTGTTACTTATGTCAATCCACACATCCATATATATAATCAATAGAAACATAGAATATGCAATATTCTACATCATACATCCCGTGCATGGCTATTGTTTGACCTTGGAGGCGGTCAGTGTAGAGCAGGTTCTCAAAAGGTAGATCCCTGGATGTTGTAGAACTACAACTCCCATGATGCTCTGCATGCCTTTAGAATAACAAAGCATCATGGAAGCAGTAGTTTAAAAACATCTGGGGATCTACCTTTTTGGCATCGTGGTGTAGTGGGACTAAATAACTTGTTGTTTTTGTGTTTTGTTTTTTCATATTCGTGTGGGGGCTCTGGTCCACCAGCACCACACATTCAGTCTCCCAGTTATGTGATTTCCTTGATGTTACTGTCCCACTATTTAGGATTCAGTGACAACCCATCAAAGATTTTTTTTTTTTTCTCATACACCAATGTCTGTAATGGGTTATTGACTCCAGTGTCCACTAATGCAGTCATGCTCAGAATTAATGAAAAAAATAAAATAAAAGAAATACAGCAATAGTGTTCGTTTTAGTATCACTCACAATCCAGGCCGAATAGAGTAGAAGCTGATTTGGGAATCAATTGCACATGGATAGTATTGAAAACTGAATGAATGAAAGTAAAAGATTGACAAGCGATAACCTAATGACAACCATGTAACTATTAAAGTACTTTATACAGAGAGAGAAAAAAAAGATTGACAAGAGAAGAGTTGAGGACACAGATGTGATCTTTAAGAAACACCAGTTAAGTGGAGAATAAAAGGCAATGAGTACATGTTGAAAGTAGGTGGTACAGAAGAAACTATTTGAAAAGAACATGGTGTACTAATCAATAAAAACAGGGAATAATTTACATAATAATATCATATAGTGTAGAAGTTAAAAACCCTTAGTTGCAGGATAAAGATAATTAGAACAGAAAATATTAATCAATATTGGAACTAACAGAATATTTCACAGACCCAATTAGCAACGAGACAAGATAAGAAGGAAAGAAGCAGCAGACAGCATTTAGGGTGTTTGTTTTCAGACATAGGAGCTTATAAAACTAGATTAGTTTATATAAGTAAAAATAACTTTTATGGAGTATTTAAAGGGACACTCCAGGCACCCAGACCACTTCTGCCCATTGGAGTGGTCTAGGTGCCATCTCCCACTACTCTTAACACTGCAAGTGTAATTATTGTAGTTTTTTTTTTTTTTTTTTATAAACTGCAATAATTACCTTGCAGGGTTAACTCCACCTCTAGTGGCTGTCTGCTAGACAGCCACTAGAGGGCACTTCCTCCTTCATAGCACAGAAAACCTGTGCTAGAGCGTCACTGGACATCCTCACGCTGTGTGAGGACCTCAAGCGTTGCTCATTTCCCCATAGGAAAACATTGAAAAGCATTTTCAATGCTTTCCTATGGGGAGCTCTAATGTGCATGCGCATTAGGTCTCCCTGGCCGGTGGGCGGGATCAGTCTCGCCCACCGGCCGACGCAATCACTAGGAGGAGCGGTGGCGGAGGAAGAAGCGGCGACGAGGGACATCGTCGCTGCCTCTGGTAAGTTACTGAAGGGGTTTTCACCCCTTCAGCAACCGGGGATTGAGTGGTGGGAGGGAGAGGGGACCTGCAGTGCCAGGAAAACTGATTGTTTTCCTGGCACTGGAGTTTCCCTTTAACAAAAACATCTGCTGTGAAGCTTAAAAATGTGTATAGTATTTCAGGCATTGTACTTCATTGTTCTCTTAATAAAAGTGATATGTCCCTTTCATGAAATATTCGTTAGTCATCATCCCATCCTAATATAATGCACACCAACTAGCAGCATTGGCCACCATGCTGGGCAGACAGGTGGTTGTGGAGCTCCTCACATACTTGCATATTAAGTTTGAAATTACTCATTCCACAACTATTACTCTCATCCAACAGCAGCATCTTTGCACCTGGCAACAAATGGGTTCCTGGTGGTGCCTTCTTGAGACACACACTGCCACAGAGTTGAACTTTTGTTGCCCCGCCCTAGCAAGACCTGACTAGGAGAGGAGGAGCTCAATTGCCCTTGGTTGGCTAGCAGGTCCTGTATCCCACCCTTTGGACCGGTGGGGTTATCCTGGTCCCCAGAGCAACATTATATGACACCTGCAGATTGACTCAATATCACAAGGCAGTGTCTTTACCTCAAGATGGCGAGAGTCCTCAAGCACTCTTCAGTGTCAGCAACAGATCCGCTCTTAAGCTGGAGGGAGGTCTTCTGCACCAAGTTCGACCGCATCTGTGCACAATTCTGGCAAGAGATTAAGGCAGGAGCACTGAAAACTGCTTCAGGTGACAGGCATCTGCTCTCTGAGCACCGACCACACACTTTGGGGACTCCACTTCATGCCTGGACATTGCCTCGAAAACCAAGGTCAGCGGACATTGCGCTGTAGTTCCAGTTAAGGTTTGGAGCTGAGGGGCAGGAAACTGGGACTTTCTTCGGATAGAGACCTGCAATGATATTTGTGACCGACTCGAGCGCCTGCAGGACTTCCAGAGCACAGGCATCGGCTGACTCTATACATCAGAGACACGACCCTTTAATTTCTTCATCTGAAACCCTGACAGTATACTAATATAATAGTGGAATTTATGTTGTTGCTTTTGTCACACAGATTTTTCATTCAACTGGTAATCCGATGTCTGGCTAACTCAGCTTGATACCTATATGTTCTGCTAGATAATGTTGTTTTTCTCTCTAAAATGAGCAGTAACAAACCATGTCTATTGAAGCCTGTTCAACTTCTAGTTAGTACAGCTCAGATAGTTAAGCCTACGTTTCCAGTTAAGACATGTGATTCTTTGTTTTATTATTTTTCACAAAAATAAAATATGGTAACGCCAATCTATTGTACACTGCTATAACATCCACATGCATTTTCATGTTGAATCTTATCTTGCCTGTAATGTCTTAAACTTTACCTCAATAAAAATATATTTTTTAAAAAGACCAAAAGAATAATAATGATAAAATCTGTATGTGCTAGTTGTTTTGAGAGTAGAAAACAAAACATTACTCTGTAGTGAATGAAATGGGCTACATAAATAATCTTTGAAAGGAGTGGGGGCGGGGGAGGGGTTATGCATGTATGTGGCTCTCCGCTAACCCTGCTTGATCTATATTTACATTGTCCTTGACGTTGTACTGTGATAAAATCAGCTTTGGTTTGCATATGTTTCAGTGGTACAATGATTCAATTTTATTAAAACAAAAAAAATTTGTATGAAGCTATCACTATTTCAGATCGAAAGAGGACATAAGCCCACTACTATGGAAAAAATAAAGCTGGACGGTTATTCGCATGTTAACGTATTTCACAAGTGTTATTGCAATTTTATTTTTCATGTTCACTTCTCTGGATATTGGTTGGATCTGTGTAACTTAAAGGGACACTCCAGGCACCAAAACAACTTAATCTAAATGAAGTTGTGCTGGTGCCATGAGGCCCATGGAGGTACTCTTACCTAAAGGGGTTAAATCATTCTCAAATGGTTTAACCACTTAGTTGCCTCTTTTCCCCTCATGGCTTTCAGGATCTGACTGGACTCTGACTGGCTGGGAGTGGTCAGCTGAATTGGCTCATAGTCAATCAGTGACTGCCTATTCACTAAACTGGCTTGCAAAGAAACTTACCTTTTGCAGGCCAGTTTAGTGAATTAGAAGTCACTGATTGGCTGAGAGTGTACCTTTAAGTAATTGTTCCTAAAACTAATTTGATGTGCTTTAGTTATAGATATTGTCCTGCTTTAGCTATAATCAACATTCCACCCTCATGGGAGTTGTAGTTGTCCAACATTTGGGGGATCTATCTTTTGGGCACCCATGTTGTATAGAGAACGGTCTTTTTCCCCCACCTTGGTAAAAACATAATTTACTGGGCTAAGGAACACATTCAGATCAGGTTGCTAGCAGTACTATCTACCCATGGGCAAATTTGTGTTCTGGTGTTTTGTTTCCTAGAATGTCACATTAAGGCATGCTTATGGACTATCAAGCATGGTATCTTGGTTTCTACCATAATTTACATGATATGCAATGCTACAAAATACAAAAAAAAAAAAAGCACACAAAAAAAAACAAACATTCACACTTGTAATTTTATTTTCATGGTCCGTTTGTGTGTATGAATGCACATTTTATATTGAACATTGCTGTAGTAGTTATGATGCCAGGATTATGCTGGTGGTATGGAAGTCAACTTTTTCAATGATTTTCCACTTACTTGGGACCCAGGAGGCCCCGGGGCTCACAGAATGGCAGCTTACCACATTCAGCTTCTGCAGACGTACACAAGTCAAATGCTACCACTGCTGTTCATAGATTGGCAGTTAGGCTGAACAGCCTCAGCCAATGAATAAACCTTTCTGCTTAGAATACATACACAATTAAAATGAGTAAGCCCAGACCTCTCCAGGGTTGGCCAATGAAAGCTGGCGTGAAATCTCAATATGTGCAACTTCTCATGCTGAAAAGCTACACATACAGGATCCTTGTGTCATGACCACTTTAAAACACGGATGAGGTAGGTATGTTGCTTGAAATAAGAATTTATGTCTGAAGATTCAGTGTGGATACACATGTAATCATTCTTAACTTTAGCCATATGTACTATAGCAAGCAGGCCCCCTAGTGGGGATTCCTTAAAAATGTTTGTATAAATGGTTCTAACATTAAATGGTTTGTATGGCTCTTGAAGCAACTCAAGGAATGTAATTAAAACATTACAGCAAATGGGAGAGGGTTAGTACATCTGGACAACTTCCATTGTCACACAGACTAAGTAAGAGAAGGGATGACACACAAAAAAAGCCACTGTGACATCTTTCAGTGAAAAAGACAAATGTTGGCACCCAGAGGTAAATGAACACAGAAAGAAATTAGAGAATCTGCCAGAATGAGCATTGCACCAGAACTACATTATATATAAGAGGTGGTCTCACAGAGATGGTGAAAACACTAGAACCTCAGACACAGTATGTCCATGTAGATAAATCAGAGTTCCGTAAAGAGAATAATCTGCAACCCATAACATATCAACTGAAAATGTGATTTACAGCTCTATAGAAAGACCCTTTAACACCAAACTTATTACAGAGCTGAAAGGGGAAATTGTGGTACCATGTTAACCTTTAGAGCCAAAAAAGCATAATACTGTAAGGATAAATGTAAATTTGATATTTTTATTAGGTAACTTGGAAAGTGCTGCTTGTAAGCTTGCAGGAAACCACAATTCACTCACACAGCTTATTTCAACTGTAAGGCAGGGCCGGACTGGGACCTAAAATCAGCCCTGGAAAAAAATTCTATACCAGCCCAATAATGCGTCGCGCCAGCATAGTGTGCTGATAAAGAGGGTGAAAAAATAACTTGAAATTGAAAACTCTTACTCCAACGAAGGAACGCATATAGGGCTTCAAAATAAACAAAAGAGCGCCTTTATTTTAAGTAGACGTACATTTGCATGTAATGTTTCAGTACAACTACTTTGGCCTATTAAGGACATTTTAGTAATGGTACTGAAATGCTGAATGTCTGCAGTTGCACAACTAAAAAATGAAGTGATCTTGTTTATTTTGAAGTTCTATGGGTGCGCTCTTCACTTTGAATATGTTATTGTGCATGAGTATGCAACTAGCAACAAGACAGGGCCAATACGTGCTCATTATATATATATATATATATATATATATATATATAAAATGACATATTTAATGACATTTATGTGTGTATTATGCATAAATAAATGTATATTACTATATGTGTAAATATTATAGGCATAATTATATGTTACTAATACACACATCAATATACATTCATATATATATATATATATATATATATGTGTGTGTGTGTATTACTGTCAGGATCACATCAATTTATGTCTATTACCTTTACCTCGTTTAGTGTATCTTGTCTCCAATTGTCTCCTTTTTTTCTCTTACAGCGACCCTTGTGCATCTTTTACTTCATCCCAGTCCCTGTGTGTTTCTTTTTACCCTTCTCCAGCCTCTGTATTTCTCTTTCCCCCAGCCCCTTTTGTGTTGTTCTTAGCCCCAGCCACTTTGTCTCTTTCTCCCCTTCCAAATCTCATCTGTGTGTCTCTTTCTAACTCCAGACTCTGTGTGCCTCTTTCTCTTCTCCCAGTCACTCTCTGTCTCTTTTTCCCCAGCCCAGCGTTGCCTCCCACAAATCTTGTGTCACTTTGTTCCCCTTCCCTACTGCATGTCTCTTTGTCCCCCCAACAAACCTTCCGTGTGTCTCTCTTCCCCAACTCCTCCCTGTGTCTCTCTCTTACCCCTCTGTCTCTGTGTCCCCCCTTCTCCTGTGTCTCTCTATTACCCCTCTCTTTGTCCCCCCAACCTCCTATTACCCCTCTGTCTCTTTGTCCCCCCTTCCCTGGTGTCTCTCTATTACCCCTCTATTTGTCCCCCCATTCCCCTCTATTTGTCTCCCCCCATTCCCCTCTATTTGTCTCCCCCTTCCCCTCTATTTCCCCCCATTCCCCTCTATTTCCCCCATTCCCCTCTATTTGTCTCCCCCCCAT